TTTTTTTTTTTTTTCCACCAAACTCGCCCCACTCCCTGTCCCCTGGGGACGATGGAAAAATTCCTCGGAGACCTGGATCCGAATAAATTTCCATTTTCAGCGCCATTTTTTGAAGTGAACTGGATCGACAAGGAATACCCATTTACCCTAACAGTTTAGCCCTGTAGTTAGCGGAAGATGATGTCAACAAAAGTAAAGGGTACATTCTAGCTATTGCTAAATGGAAATTGATCCAAATTACGAGTTTGAAGCTCCAAAATGGGTCGACTTTACAGCAGATTTCGAAGATGAACTCAATGAGTCGAGGTATGAACGGTTTCGTATGTACAATAAGTTTAACTTGATGTTCTTTAAGATGGCATCCACCGATTGAATTGATAACGATGTTGCTTGAAGATTAACGAAGTTGGTTATCTTTCGTTTTGTTACTTTTGTGTAATAGAGAACTAATGTTTTTGAAACGCGAAATATTGGCGCTTAGCAGTCAGTAATTTACCGCGCATTATGTTTAGAAATTTGATTGGAAGCAAAATGCCAAATCATTAGTTTGTTTTATTTTTCTCGCGAAAATTAGCTTTTTTATGGTCATTGTTCCTTGACCTTTATCCTTTTCAATGCGATGCAAACATTGGCAACATGTATTTGCACTGGTATCACCGTTCCTTTCTGTCTGGCTGGTAATTAATTACAAGGCTCAACACTAAATTTTCAACTTACCAACCAAGTGGCCAGTGACAACTTGGATGTTACAACAATTTCAGTTTGTTTACAAGCAAAACTGGCTTGTGGAAGTCGAAAACCATTAGCCAAAACTGAATTTCCACTACTTCGTGGCTAGTTAGCTACCGATAGTGTCGAGAGCTGAAGTAATGTCATTTTGAATAATACGGTAATTAGCTGAATTATACGCGCATTTTTATTGGTTCTTATGTATGATCTATTTGAGAAAAGATGAGGTAACCATTAACAACTTTCTGTTTGAGGAATAGATTGTTTGAAGGATAGCTTCCATGTCACCTTGTTTCTGTAGACTGTGGAAGATATCAAAATTAATGTGGTAAGAACATCAGTGAAACATTGGACTGCACTTCATGTGCCACTTTTCTGTTCTTACCACATTTTGACGTCATCTGTGATCAATTATTTTGACCAGACACACAGCAACATGGAATCTATTCCTTAAACAGATTTTGTAACTGAATCTCTTATACAGCCTCAACAGTTCATGGTTTGAGAAAGTCCATCCACTTCATGAACCAAAGGACCCATTGCATCATGATGCAACTGCCAAGCCATTGCTTGCTTCTGCACAAGTGGAAAAGCCTGCCACAAACTCAAAACCACAGTCCCATAAACTGAAGAAAAATTACAATAGCAAAAAGTCTCTTGGTATAAAGTCAATCCGTACACAACGAGGAGAACACGAGGGCATGAATATTAGAGAGAACAGTGGAAAAGGGCAAAGAGATGTGAAGTCATTAACAGCCAAAAATGATGACAAGAAAACTACACAAAGAATTAGTTCTGAGGAGGGGAACTTAACCCCAGAAAGATTATTAAAACATCATAAACAGTGCAGTTTCACACCACCATGGATAAACTCTCCTCAGAACAGACCAGGTATGGACTCCTTTCGCCAACTGAGTTTGAAGTTCGTACTGTGTATGTGAGTTACAGACCAAGTTTTATGTGTTTAGATTTTTGACACAAGTGCAAAGTGCAAGGGTCATTAATCTGAGTGGGAAAAACAAGGTTCCCTAACTTACAGTATGGACTTTGCAAATGAGGTTATAAGATAGTTACCATACTTCTGGGTTCAAATGGAGGGGAATGATTTTAATTTAAACAAACTTTTGAATTGCACAGAGAACAGTGTGTGGAATATGCATATTGATGTTGGGATGTAATTGGTTAAAAATTGCTTTTTTTTTACATTTCAGAAAGTGCATCACAAGCTAAGAAGAGAGATGGTAGAAGCTGTAGTCTGAACAACATGGCCGTCTTTTCTCCCCAACGTGTCCCTACTAATCAGTCTCCGATGTCTCCTGTGCCAGTGCGAAGTGTTAAACAGTCTTACGCAGAGTCTGCTTCTTCACCAAAGACATCTCTGCTATCAAAGGCTGTCAGTGGATCTCAGAAAGGTAATCAACCTAGGAGGAAAAGAAGACTCTTGCCAGCCACTCCCAGCATGAACAAGAATAGTCCAGGTGGCATTTATACAAGTCCTGCATCGCCTAGTCAGCTGGGTCATCAAATTGGAGGCAAAGAGGGCAAAATGAATGATCAAATGTCCTGCAAAGAGGCCGCTTGTAGTGTTTCTAGCATGCCTCTGCGAGCAGTAGATAAGTCACAAGCTGTAACTCAAGAACACCTTCCAGGACACCTTCAGAGTAACAGTACTATTAAAAGAGAATTTCAGGACAAAAATATGTTTAGTCAAAGACCTTTAGAAGCAATTCATGAAAACAGTACCAGCAAAGGAAAACCAAGCCAGTCCCTCGCACAAACAGACAGTGAAAAGAATACGTCCCCAAAGCGTAAAACAGTAATGCAATCCAATGATTTAAGTCTGGAAGCACTGTTAAAACAACACAACAAGAAAATTGCAGCTGCCAGGAATCAGTATGATGAAAATGGACGCAAAATCCGAACTGCACAGCCAAACTTTTGTCCAGCCCCGGGCCACAAGACCTTCTCTTCGTCATCTTCAGTAATGTCCCCATCCACTGCTTGCAAACGACCTTCAACATCTGCTGAACCTGTGGTTGGTGTGAAGCAGAAGCGACGCTCTTGTGTTGCTGCTATGAGCAGCACTCAAACTGAACTAGCTACGTTAAAGAAAAACTTATTATCATCAAACATAAACAGGAAGGGAAAGGAGGATGTTTGTCAACAAACAGCAAAGCAGAAACGTCGTTCATGTGTTGCTACGTTTGGAAATGGTGGACATGCAAAGTTAGACAAAGAACTGCGAGATTTAATCGCCCAACATAATTCAAAAGTTAAAGCTAAGAGATCTTAGATATTTTCAGGGTTTAAGTTAATTCAAGTGCAAGGTGTAGGCATGTAGGGTCATAAATGTTCATGTAATCGTCAGTTAGCTATCAACTGATTTTGATTTAATACTGGAAATGCAAATCAGCTCAAGGCCATTTTATACAAAGTGGAAGAAATGGGCTTGTGATTGACAAATGTCTGTGGCACGCATTTGTCTAACCTGTCTTTGAATAGCATGAAACTGAGTTGAGAAGTGATCTTCTACATGTTACTTGCCATTTGTGGAAATATCACATATTTTGGAGGCTTTCAGAAATATACCTCGTAGATTTTTTCTAAGATGTGTTGATACTTGAGTGGAAATTTCACTTCAGGAGTCAGAGACATGAATGTTTGACCAGAACGAACACTGGTTTTAGATAATGGTTTGTGACAAAGAGGTAGTTAAGTTGTAAACGAACAAACTTGAATAAATACCCAATTCTTCAAGATCTATCAATCTTCATAATGAAGTAATTTTTCACAAATTGTATCCCACAAGGATGTACTCATAAGCCTGCAAATCATTCACATTTGTCAAAAAAGAGATTCAAACCAATTTTTTTTTTTAAATTTTTCGCGAACTAGACATTTTATACTGCAGAGGACATTACACAACTTTAGGACCTTTGTTTGATTTTTGAAAAATTTTGGAGCATCTTCTTTTCAAGGCAAGGAAACTCAGAATTTGTTTCAATTCATCTAAAAAAAATTGAGGTTCGCATGTACAGTAGCTGGTGTTAACTTTGTTTCGGGCAAAACAATTACTTCGCGGATCTGTGATTTTCCAGAGAAGAGGTGAGTTATAGACAAGGCTATTGTTTGGGTCAGCGGTGGCTCTTCGAAGTCGACGCAACAACGAGGCCGCGCCGCCATCTTGAAATTTCTTTAAGTTTGCTTGCATCTAATGGTGGAAGTTGTGTAATTTTTGCGGAGATGTCTTTACTGAATAAGAAAAAGAAGTCTTTTATTGGAGTACCTGCTCCTCTTGGCTACGTACCCGGTCTTGGAAGAGGGTTAGTATTTCAAAATTGTCTGTATTCAAGGATCATTTGAACCAGTACAGAAAAAAAGATCTCGAACGCAAATGAAATAACTTGTAACTGTTCTAAAAAACATTCTGCTTGAATTTCGTAGGGCTACTGGCTTTACAACTCGATCAGATATCGGTCCTGCCAGGGATGCGACGGATATAAGGTGAGATTTTTGCCAAATCGTAGTTGTTTATAGTATGATAATTGCATGGAGCAACAACAGATCAAAATGATACAATAAGGAAGTCTTAGCTATTTGTACTCTGTATGTTTTCATGGTTTATCATTTCTATCACTTTGCATGTTTCCCCTACTGAGCTACAAAAATTAATAATTGGAGAGGGGAATGCACATCAGTTGAAAGTTTTTAAGCACCTCCCTCCAGTCATAAAGTAACGTTTTTACTCCTAAGAAATGATTCCCAATTCTCCATATAGCTGCTAAACATTACCATGTTACAAGAATTTGACATAAATAGAGGATATTACATGGCCATGATTCCCAATTCTCCATCTAGCTGCTAAACATTACCATGTTACAAGAATTTGACATAAATAGAAGATATTACATGGCCATGATTCCCAATTCTCCATCTAGCTGCTAAACATTACCATGTTACAAGAATTTGACATAAATAGAAGATATTACATGGCCATGATTCCCAATTCTCCATCTAGCTGCGAAACATTACCATGTTACAAGAATTTGACATAAATAGA